AGTTTGTTATAAGCATATATACAGCATATGTACAACTTTCCGGGACTAAAAATAGGTTCATTATGTCAGTCAATTCGTTATAGGCGTGTTCCCCTTTTAAACGTAGTTTACTGTACAATCAATCATGAATAAACCTCCCATGTTAGTTCAGCCTGATAAGATTCAATAAAAAAGAGTGATCTCCAAACAAGACTGAATGCTGTTGTCCACAACCCGCCCCATGTGGATACACGCATCACAACTACCCCGGGGATGTCCATAACCCGCGCTGTGTAGATACACGCATCACCACTACATCGGGGACGTCCATAACTCGTCCTATGTGGATACACGCATCACCACTACATCGGGGACGACCATAACTCGTCCTATGTGGATACACGCATCACCACTACATCGGGGACGTCCATTACCCGTCCTATGTGGATACACGCATCACCACTACCACGGGGATGTCCATAACCCGCTCGATGTGGATACACGCATCACCACTACCCCGGGGATGTCCATAACACGCTCGATGTGGATACACGCATCACCACTACCCCGGGGACGTCCATAACCCGCCTTATGTGGATACACGCATCACCACTACCCCGGGGACGTCCATAACCCGCCCAATCTGGATACACGCATCACCACTACCACGGGGACGTCCATTACCCGCCCTATGTGGATACACGCATCACCACTACCCCGGGGATGTCCATAACCCGCCCGAGGTGGATATACGCATCACCACTACCCCGGGGATGTCCATAACCCGCCCTATGTGGATACACGCATCACCACTAACCCGGGGATGTCCATAACCCGCCCTATGTGGATACACGCATCACCACTACATCGGGGATGTCCATAAACCGCCCTATGTGGATACACGCATCACCACTACCCCGGGGATGTCCGTAACCCGCCCTTTTTTTGTAAATAAACTTTTATCACAGATACGTTTTAAATGTCTTTAAAGAAGCATCGCGTCCCCAGGCACCGTAGGCCGGTTAACCAGCCAAGCCTTAGTCACGTCAAAATAGTATATATTTTTATGGACCTACGTGTCATACCATTCATTTATTAAATCTATCACATCTCACGATGTCTGAAATACGTATTATATTTCAATTTATCATTTTTTATTGATGGATTAAAAAGTTATTCACTCTTTCCGGCAATGTTATTGAAAATATAATTCTCGGACATACACCTCGACAACGTGCACATCGAAAGTGTCAAAGAGCAAAACAAAGACGTTTCAAGCAAATCTTTAAATATATCATACAAAGTGATAAATAAAATCAACAAAAATATATCTAAAAGTGGTCAAACTTACAGCTAAGTTATTATTTCTATCTTTTCGTGCGATCGCGTGTAATGTAAGTCAAATGACATCTCGGCTTTCGGCGCCTCGAATTCTCGGCTCGGTCACGATGTTCAATGCCAAAAATCTTTGTCATAGCTTGCAACCTAGCATGATACATCCACGAAGCTCCATATTTTTAATATAGATCGCGATTTCCTGCTTAAAACGTTCAATATAACACGATTTAACCAAAATATTTCGTAAAAATCTGAAATTCATCGTACACGAGGATTTGTAATTTGATTGCCTGCCTCAGGTCACGTGCTCAAATTTGACCAATCATGAAGCTTATAGCTGATTTCGGCAAGAAAGCGTCATTAACAACAATTTTGTATCCAATGAAATCTTATGTTAAGCTACGAAAAGACTCAAAGCAATGTTACAAGCGTGTAGATGAAAAAACAAGCTTTCTAGCGATGTGTCATACGTCAGACACCGACGAACGTGTTATTCATGCGAAGCATTCGAAAACGGAGGTATTTCTTCATGTTACTGAGCGGACAGCCGCTGTTATCTGGAAATGAGTGAAAAGAGATACTATTCATAATTCTTTTTAAAATAATTTTCCAATTAGATCTACGTAAACAATGAAAATAAAAAAGAAATAAGTAGATCTCTTGAAATCTTACATTTGCCCCAAATCGTCAAATTTTCGCTTTCTTGGTCCTTAATCTGGACGTTATGAATGTGCCAGCTTACATTTTTTATTTAGAACGAACTTAATTCAGTTGTCAATGCATTATTTAAATAATATGATAAACATAACTTATAAACACTAGGATTAGACCTTTCAAATTGTCTATAACATGGCTGTTGCTATAATTATTTTTAATTGTTTTTTTGCCTTTATACATGAAAATGGCAAATCATTAGTTACTGGACATTGGTACATTTAGTATTTAGTATTTACTCCTAGAATCTACCATCTAGTCACAACTCACAAATTTGTAGAACTGTAGTTTTGTGTTTGCTAGCCATTACATGGAAATGGCAGATGATTCATTAAGTTAAAATACTCATTACAGTATATATTTTATGACTCATGAACATTCATTCACTTTCATTTAATTTTTCATGTTAATAAACTAAGTTTAATTCATTTATCTCTTGTCTTCTCTTGTCACACTATGTGTATCGTAGCGTATCGAGATACGTATCGTATCGTGACCTAGGTGTATCGTGGCAGCCCTACACCCCACCATCCATCACAACACTCCAGTCAACAAATGGCCCCCACCCCGAACACCCCACCACCCATCAACAACACTCAGGTCAAACACATGGCCCCCACCCCGAACACCCCATCCACCCATCAACAACACTCCAGTCAAACACATGACCCCCACCCCGAACATCCCTTCCATCCATCACAACACTTCAGTCAACACATGACCCCCACCCCGAACACCGCAACCCTTACACCCCACCCACCCATCAACAACACTCCAGTCAACAAATGGTCCCCACCCCGAACACCCCATCCACCCATCAACAACACTCAAGTTAACACATGACCCCCACCCCGAACACCCCTTCCATACCATCACAACACTTCAGTCAACACATGACCCCCACCCCGAACACCGCAACCCGTACACCCCACCCACCCATCAACAACACTCCAGTCAACACATGGCTCCCTACCCGCAACACCCCATCCACCCATCAACAACCCTCAGGTCAAACAAATGGCTCCCACCCCGAACACCCCACCACCCATCAACAACCCTCAGGTCAAACAAATGGCTCCCACCCCGAACACCCCATCCACCCATCAACAACACTCCAGTCAAACAAATGACTCCCAACCCGCAACACCCCACCACCCATCAACAACCCTCAGGTCAAACAAATGGCTCCCACCCCGAACAACCCACCACCCATCAACAACCCTCAGGTCAAACAAATTGCTCCCACCCCGAACACCCCATCCATCCATCACAACACTCCAGTCAACACATGACCCCAACCCGAACACTCCGCCCACCCATCAACAAAACTCCAGTCAAACACATCACCTCCAGCCCAAACACCCCTTCCATCCATCACAACACTCCAGTCAAACACATGACCCCCACCCCGAACACCCCTTCCATCCATCACAACACTCCAGTCAACACATGACCTCCACCCCGAACACCCCATCCACCCATCAACAACACTCCAGTCAAACACACGACCCCCACCCCGAACACCCCATCCACCCATCAACAACACTCCAGTCAACACATGACCTCCACCCCGAACACCCCATCCATCCATCGCAACACTCAAGTCAAACACATGGCCCAAAACCCGACCATCCCGCCCAACCCGACCATCCCGCCCACCCATCAACAACACTCCAGTCAAACACATGACCCCCACCCCGAACACCCCTTCCATCCATCAACAACACTCCAGTCAACACATGACCCCCACCCCGAACTCCCCTTCCACCCATCAACAACACTCCAGTCAACACATGGAACCCACCCCGAACACCCCTTCCATCCATCAACAACACTCCAGTCAACACATGACCTCCACCCTGAACACCCCATCCATCCATCAACAACATTCCTGTCAAACACATGACCCGCACCCCGAACACCCCGCCCACCCATCATCAACACTGTAGTCTACACATGGAACCCACCCCGAACACCCCACCAAGCATCAACAACACCCCAGTCAGACACATGGCTCCCACCCCGAACATCCAATCCACCAATCAACAACGCTCCAGTCAAACACATGGTCCCCACCCTGAATATCCCACCCACTCATCAACAACACTCCTGTCAAACACATGGCCCCCACCCGGAATACCCCGCCCACCCATTAACAACGCTCTAGTCATCTATCATCATCAACCCACGACACACAACCACTCATCCGTGATCAACTCGTGTTATTCCGGGACAGGTTGCAGGTTACGAACAGGGGCGAGTGCTGACGAATGACAACCACTACCACAGAAGGATCATTACGTCACGATGAAAAATCCGACCGCCCACCGCTGGGCTATGAGCACTAAAATTACGATGTCACTCGTAATGGAGTCTCAGCCGCAACGTTGAAATACTCCATGCAGAGGACCCTGTGTAGAATAAGTTTCCAGCTTGTCGTGAGAGGCAACTAATCTGGGCTTGGATGACTGCGTGTCACCAAACCCCGGCGTTCTGATCACAATACTAACAGCCTAGTAATACACATAAGGTAGAGAATATATGGATGTCAACTTCTTTATTATGAGGAACACAACTTTTCGGAGTATATGCTTTCTCCTTCGTCGGGTGAATGAATGCCATGAGGCAGAGAGCATAATATATGTACATGTAAGGACAACAAAATTACAGTCTTGTTGGTGGTTCTGGGGCTGGCTTCTGCGACATGGTGTTGGAGTGGGCGTTCTAGTTGAGTGGGCTTGTTGATGTGAGATGTCGGCTGGTCTGGGCTAGGGACTTAGTCGTTTGGGAGGAAGGTCAGGTGGTTGTTGAACGTAACACTTTTGCTGATGGTCTTGTTGTACTTGTTGATGGATGTTACTGCATCAACCTCATGTTGATGTCGTATCAGGTCTTTGAAAGGCATTTGTAGTGATACACCCAAGGAAAAGAATATATGAATATCAACCTGTCGTATTTCTTCCTGTTCATGCCTGACCTTGTCTTTATCTAGTGAACATTACTTGTTTGTCAAACCCATATACACAACACTAATACGTCCTAAAATTTAAATCAGAATGTCACAAAGCTATATCATATCTGCTTCGTGACACGCCTTTCAACATAAACACACGAACCTTAAACAAACTCTATTCATGGTTATCAGAGCGCTGTGTTTCCCTGTGAGCTAGAAATACAGTAAGAATATACTTCCTGGTGGGACGTGAGTAGGGTGGAGGATTGAAGGAAGGTGGCTGTTACGCAGGCCAGGCTTGCCCTTCATACTGTGCAAAACTTATTCGAGGTAAGTTCTTCTTTCTTGAAAACCATTCACACAAGGGTCTTCACCTATGTTAATGTTAACCGTAATTTTCTAGGTCAATGTTACGTCTCATACGGAAGTCCCACCGCGTATTGACCAGATACAAACAATTTGTACCAGGATATCAATTATGAGACATTGTATGTATGTGTGTGGCTTTATGATTTTTGTTCACGCAGTGTACCCATGTCTTTGGTGACGAGTCAACCTTAACACATGCCTAACTAATACGAGGTATACATATCTCAACGTCTTCTTTTCTTATAAGAGACCTTTATATTGGTATTTTAATTGATAGAATTTGTATTAATGTCAAGAAGTTTTATTTAGTAGATTATAGAAAAAGAGCTTAATTCAAGGAAGACACACCACACACAAGTTATTTACTAAATACACCAACTGCCGCGAGACACGTCAGTGAAACAATATACCTACCCACAGTCCTCCATGTTTCAACACAATGACTGTTGCACATGTCTATTGTCAACGAACCGGAGCATGTCAGTTTCATATAATACTTGCGAACCTTTCGTTTCAGTACACCAAACATAAAGGCCAATGGACAAGTTGTACACATTTACAGGTACTGAACATTTCAAATATTTATAACTTTATGATAAGTGGGTAATTGGTGGATTTGAATTTGGAAGTTGTGTCAGCTCGACTGCATACAATCAGTAAGCTCTCCGTTGATGTTCTTGATAACCAGAAAAAGTAATATTAAATGTTACTTTTAGATGTTACAGTGAAGGAGATACTGTGGAAAGCTTGGAAAATATATTTTTGTCACCATTACGTATATAAAGCTTTATATATATATATATATATATATATATATATATATATATATATATATATATATATATATATATATATATATATATATATATATACATACATACATACATATATATATATATAATATATCTGCATAAAGCAGAGTCGATTGTACGATTCCGACTATAGCATGTGTTTATGAATCACTATCAAACAGTAAAGATACCAGGTGTGTACGAAAAGGTGAGCGTATCATGCCCCACCGGGTTCGACCGTCACAAACACATGCAAAGTCAAGGAAATTCGAAACATATATACAGTAATCATTTCAGTATATCTTCGTTAAAGCTGTACAAAGCTTACGTTACACATTGTATAAACAAACTGTACTGAGTGCCCAGTCTACATAAAATATGCAGGGTAAGACCAGGTGATAGATGCAGTTTGTTTGCATGTCATACATAGAGGCATATCTACATTTACAGCGTACCTCTACCTTGTCACCTGTATTGCCACAACCTGTCCGGCCGGGTCACAGATGATCTGGTAAGTACATGGTGCTCTGATGCAGGTGTTCAGCCTTTAGTGTACTGTGGCTGGCAGGATGAGGGGGCATTTCAGATTATCTGTGCATAATCACCATCTGTTCGATTTACTTGGCAAAATAATCTCCCGGGGTGTCATTATTTTCACAACTATGTTTTTGTTTTGTTTTTTGGGTTTGGTTTAAAATATATGAAATTGCTTTTTTGTATCATGTACTGGCCTCGAAGTTCAATTAATGTAAAACACTGTTATATAGCTGAGTAGTATAGGTAATGATGGTTCTGGACCACTTCCACTGGAGCCAGATTCATATACCTATACTGCTACTACAGGGGGGATTTTTTATGTCAAAATGATTATGTGATTTAACGATAGTCATGAGTTGTATTAAACGAAACATCAATATTAATTAATAATGGATAAAATTTACTATAGCCCACGAGGATATTGGAAAGGTGTAGGAGCAATAAAAAAATTAGCCACCGCGGCTAAAGTATCTAAAGATGTGGCCAAGGATTGGTTAAAGAAACAAGCGTTGTGGCAAATATATTTACCAGCACCGCGTTATATACCGAGGAAGAAGTTTGATATTTTTACAACGAATGAAGTTCATCAGGCTGACCTCTTGTTTCTTCCCCACGATAAGGTAAAACGCAAAACGTATAAATACGCTTTAACGGTAGTTGATGTGGCTAGTCGATACAAAGAGGCTGAGCCATTAACATCGAAAGAATCAACAGAGGTAGCTAATGCACTGAGTCGCATATACAAACGTGGACCTCTAAAATGGCCTAAGCTATTTCAAGTAGATCCCGGTCGCGAGTTTATGGGATCGGTAACTAAACTGTTAACAAAGCACGATGTCGAAATCGTCCGTGGTGAAAGAGAGGCCCACCGCAGTCAAGCTATCGTCGAAAGATTTAACAGGACATTAGCGGAACGTTTGTTTGGCTATCAGTATGGGATCGAAATGAAATCCGAGCGATTGAGATCAACCGAATGGGTGACACGATTATCAGCCGTTGTATCAGCGCTGAATAATGAAGTAACGAGATTAATAGGGAAGAAACCATCCCATGCTATTAAAATGAAATCCGTGACTTCCGAATCTTCAGCACCGAGGAGAGGCAAAGAACGAAAACTTCCGGATAGAGTAAGGGTAAGATATTTATACCAGGCCGGTGAACTCGAAGGAGGCCTACGTCGCGCAACCGATCCCATATGGTCCCTTAAGACGTATAACATTAGTCGATTGGTTACGAAAGAAGGAGAGCCTATTCTTTATTATCTTCAAGATGGACCGGGTAGGGCATTTGTACGAGAAGAGTTGTTCATAGTTCCCGACGGTACGGTATTACCACCATAACCATAAGCATAGGTATTTACACCATCATTATCAATCCATCTCTTTGTATCTAAGGGGGATAATGATGTCTTGTTCATTCTTAATCCATATATCCTATGATCGTAACTTCTTAAAGAGTTCATCTCGTGTTTGAACGTTCTACCGTTGAATAATGATTCTTTATACTGTTCGTGTTTGATATGCTTTTTTACAACGTACTTCTTAACGCCCTTAGCTTTTCTTATCTCTCCATTATCAGACTTCTTTATAGAATACATCTTAGGTCTTAATCCCACATACTCCGCTATAGGGGTCCCAGCACATTCATCCTTCATCTTACCTAACACCTTTTTATTTACAACGCTGTGCAGTGGATTATCTTTTGGGTAATCGCTCGTGTCGTACATATCTATTTTTTCTGCCATATCTTTATACACATCCTCGGTTTGTATTTCCATCAACAAAGAATCTGTGTCGGTATATAACACCTCGCATCTATCGCCGTATTGCTTCTTAAGTTCGTTGTAATAAAAGTCATACATTAAGTGTTTTGACAAGTCGAGAATACTCATACCGACGTACACCGGTCTGTTGAATTTTATATTACTCTTCTGCATATGCAACGCGGCTAAGTCGTTATCGAATATCTTGCTTCTGTTAAAAGCCAGACTGGCTATAAGTTTCCTGAGTCTTTCTTCCTCATTAGATCTGACTAATTTAACATCAACACACTTCCTTAGATTCTCCATAGTTTTACCAAATACCGAGTTATTCATGAGCTTATATAGATTCTTTTCGAAATCGCTGGTAGCTATCTTTCTTAAATCTGTGTTCAACCTTATATAGGGCTCCATCCAAGGGCTTTGATCGAACTTTAGAACTCTGTGTATTTTCTTAAGTTTCATACCTAACGATAGATACAACTGGAGATTTCTGTAGTGAACTATATATTTTGTTTTATCCATCAAATTTGGTACGAGTTTTTCTACGTTAGCTAACCTACTATTACCCATCAAGGAGCGTTGATATTCCGACATCCAATCTTTATTAACCATTAATCTTTCGGGAGCTAGCGGATAACTGTTGTGATCTTTATGTAACGAACTTGGATATTCCAAGTCAACTTCTAGTATGTACCCTTTATTCACTTCGATATTATAGATATTATTCACATTGATATCATCGACCCATTCAAAACCACCCGTGGGTAAAGGTTGACTCATAGCCCATCCGTACAAATTGTTAGCGTCGAGATATAATATGTGGGTGTCGGGTTTACTGGGATCGTATCCTTCCACTAATTTATTATTAGCCTTAGAATACCTTTTAGCTGCCATTGATATACCACCTCTTAATCCTTTCTCAATAAACAAGTGCATATCGTAATCTGTGAGTAGTTTTAGTTCTACGCCGGTCTTCTTCAACAATGCATCCCACGATAGTCCGGGACTGGAATAGTACCATGCCGGATCCAAGCCATATTGTTTGAAACATGTCTTTCTAAATATCTCGAATATATCGGCGAGTAACAGTACATCGGTTTTTAAGTACAGATCGTGATAATCGCCTAAATTCTTACAACCTAATTTATCCCAGACCGTCAGAGCGTGTTCATAATCGGCATCTGTTATTCTAGATTCTGTTAAGTTACTATAGAATGATTCGAGGGGTGGTAATTCAGTTTCTTCGAATCTAGACCAATCATCCATATATTCGTAAGGATATACACCTTTTCTCAGCAACAAATGACGAGTTATCTTATCGGTATATTGATTTGTTATCGCGAAGTCATCGGGATTGTTCGCATTAGCTAAATTGTCCAGGGAAGATAACAGAAACTGTACGGAGTCTATGAATCTAAGCCCATTACTTTGCTTTGTTCTAGATTTCCCATCCTTGTCCCTATAATGTATAGGTTTAGTCAACGAGAACGATATGTATTTTTCCATATTATTAGGAATGCACGTTAAACCGCCGTCGGTCTTCGAGATAGCTTGCATAATGAGATGTGAATCGTATCCTCTAAGGTTATGAAACACAACGGGGATGGGTATTGTTTGAGAGTTCATTTTTAGTTTCAAGTTACACTCGTTATGCGCGGCTCCCCGATAATTACCCGTGACGTGACAATGATCTCTTACGGAATCCCCATCCAGGGGTTTATTACAAACGTGACAACTCGTTGACTTCTTATAGGCACTCCAATCATCCCTCGTCATACGCATGGGTATCGTACACGATAATTTTTCCCTGATTATTCTCTCTTCATTTTGTAGATATTCTAGGAACTTTCCCGCTGCATCGGGACCTCTGTAAATCACGGGAGTGTTTGTTTTCCCATCATACCTTACAACTATATATCCAAACCCACAAGGAATATGTTCTTGAGTTTTGTACGTAAAACTATTATCAGTATTATTGCGTTCGGTATTTTCTATGGGTTTGATAAGCGCTTCGAAGTCGGCGTAAATTACGTACGGTACTGGCATTTGATTACAATAATGTTCAAATTTTAATATATTTTTTCCCTCTTTAGGCATATCGATCCTGATAGCATTCTGTCCAACACCTCTACAGTCTTCTTTATGCGCTTCTAATAGATCTTGTCTGCTGTACCCATGCAGGATTCTTTCACAGAAATATTTCTTTCTAGCATGTTTTGTTTGATCGTATAATAGCCTGTTTAAACTCTTTATCCACGTATAATGATATTTACCATCTTTTTCGATCAGAAATGAATTGATTCTGGGGATATTTTCCGGAGCGGAGCTTATCCTGTGTACAACAATTCCTTTAGAATGTCCGAAAACATTTATAGCTAAATTATTTTGCTTTTCCACCTTATCAATTTGTGATATTGGTGTAGGTTCGTCTATACCATCGAAGTTGAGTCCATCGTTTTGGGGATAGCTAGAAGGTCTATCTGGATGCTTGTCTACGGGGAACAATGCAGATCTTATCATCATTCTTAAACAGTCATCGGATTTATTTTTTACGTTAATTATGGCTTTTTTCTTCTTATAATACGGAGGTAAATCTATATAAGATCCACCTTTGAAAGGCATATAATTCGCTATATCTAAATATAAACTATCGATTTTATCAACACCCCAACCCGAACCTCTATTAGTCCAGCGTTCTAAAGTTTCCTGTATTCTCTGAATTGATGTATCTAATGATGAGTTTATAGCATCGGATTCGGTTATAACTTCTTGATTGCTTCGGAAATATGGTTCGGTATATTCGGTGCTATCGTCTGTGTTACTTTTACTCAATGTCATTTTAATCGTCAGCTGGTATTTTATACTATGTAAGTCATCTAATTCCTCGTTAATTTTACTCGATATGATGGGCTTAATATCGTTAACATCCATGTTGGAATTAATATCCATCTTCCAACCTCTTAGATATTTACCAACGCCGGCGGATGTGGGTACAAATATTAATTCTTGTTGTTGTTGAATATCATCAACATTATTAGGTTGAATATCAACATTTTCAATAGGTTGATTATTATCTAGTAAAGCGATCAATTCAGCTCTTCTCATTCGAGAATAACCTCTCAGCCCACCGTTTCTCGCTCGAACTTTGAGTTCTCTAACAGTCTCGGGTCTGTTGTATTCCAAACCGAGTAAATCCATCAATTCAGCTTTTC